CCAATTGTCATATGTGACAGTTTGAGCATTTTCTTCAAAAGAAACCCATTTTGGTGTCAATGGAAAAGTCGTAGAGAATCAAAAATGAAGCTTATATCCAGAACCAAAATCCTACTACGAAAGAGGAATCCGCAAATTGCCTGTAAAATGGGCAGAAGTCGAGAATAATAATGGAAAAGTATTTCGAATGAATTCATGGTTTTACGTTGAAGTGGATGTTGTGAACGAGGATTATCTTTATTTCTAGGTTATCGATCAAAATATGACATTCGATGATGCCGAGACATATTGTGCAGACCAAAAGAGCCATTTAGTCTCAATTCACAGTCAGGCAGAGAGCGATTTGGTTTGGAAACTCGGTAAGAAATCGAAATGATTCAATTTGGAAGATTCATGATTTTCGTAGAAATTTATGCTTTATAAACCAAAAACAATCGATATTTATTTCAGCGAATACTGTTGCTTCGAGTATTGGGTTCTGGATCGTTCTGGATTCTGATTACTATTTATTTCGGACCATGAGTAATGAGCTCGCGGGAGAAGACTTCGATTCGGAAGAAGCAGTCAAAAGTTTGCTCCAAAAGTTTTTCGATTCAAAAGCAAAATCCTACCACGAAAGAGGAATCCGCAAATTGCCTGTAAAATGGGCAGAAGTCGTCAATAATAATGGAAATTATTTCGAATGAATTCATGGTTTTACGTTGAATAAATCTTAGTTCAAAGTCCGGCAGTTTTCAACTCATCAATCCAATAGTATTGCACCTACAAGGCAGTCCTTCAGGGAAGTCCTTCAGGTCAGCATCTGGGATTGAGCTGAAAACACATGGATCTTAGCAGTAGGACGTGAATTTCTTCTCGAGTTGGCTTCATTCGATCGGTTGCAACTCCCTCCTCGACTTCAACTTCCTCCTCGTGTCGATTTCTAAAAAATGAATGTTAGTGCAAGAAAGAAGAAAGTTTTAGCATGAAAAAGAGAAAAAAAGAAATATTTTTTTGGCTTTCTAAGAAAATCTACATTCTTTCTATTGGGTTGGGGAGAATGAGTCGGCGCCGAAAATCAAAAAAATGTCTAAAACTTCTATTCGACTTCGTCAAATAATATGCGTTTGATATCATTAGAATGGTTAACTAATTCTCTACAAAATGACATTTAAAAGAAAATTCAAACAGCGCCTCCGCTCAAGAAAAAGCCATTTTTTCACAAAAACTACAAACTGTGATCTAGAAAAAACCATTGGTGGGATCTTCCTGCAAATTTGGCAACTTAAGTAATTGAATGTGCTCTATCTTTTTTATATAAACACCAAAGAAGGTTTATGTGAAAGAAACTGTTCAAATGATGAGTCGGACTCTTTGCCATTTCAACCAGCTGCGTTTCGAAGTTCATAAACTCCACGAAAGAAAAGCTTTGTGGAATCTCTCAAAAGTCATTTTGTAGAGAAATAGTGGATCCTTTTGATGAAACCAAACGTATGTTTAAAGAAGGCTTTATGTGTGCAAAAAGTCCCTTTAAAGTTGGGCGCCGACTCATTCTCCCCAACCCAATACATTCATCTAAGCTAAAAAACAACAATTAATCGTAAAATCTATGTGTAAGGGGGCCCAGAAAGGGAAGGGTCTGTGGTCGACCCCATCCGATGTGCCAAGCAACGTCGGCGCGGGTTAGTCGTGGGTTCGACTCCCATGGGCTCCCCTCCGAGCGCCCCAGCCCGGCCATCGGAGTATCATCGGCTACGACAACTACACTTCTGCCTCAGGAAATGTGGAAGCGGGTTGTGATCTGCGCTAGGTGCGAAGACAGATCAAATCATTATTTTATTATTAATCTATGTGTAATTTTACAGAGAATAGAAGAACTGTAACATTTTTTGATGACTTTGACAACCCTAGCCAAGCAATACAAAAATGCTATCCAAATTTCGACCATGTGTCCCCCCATGAATCAAAATATATTTTTTTCATTTGTTTTTTTGCCTCTACGAGTTAATTTAAGTTAGAAAATGAATACCGTATCTTCTCTAATAGTAGTGCACCCCGGCGAGCCGAGTTGGTGACTATTTTACGGTTTCCAAGTTTTTGCAGAAGCTCAACACCCAAATTCCCCACTAGATCTCATCGTCAGCTACATTTCCCGACCCCACATCGATAGGTTCTGATAGGCCTTTCTCGATATTTCGTCAATCATCAGTCAATTTAAGTTAGAAAATGAATATTTAGTGGTTAGAAATGGTTTGGGCTCAAGTTTTGACCTTGAAAAGTGCCTCAATAAGCTGCTCCAATTAGCTTGGGCTTGGATACACCAATTTAAAGTGTAAAAAAGACATAAAAAGACATCTTCAACGTGTCGAAATGGTGATTTTTCAGTTGAAAACCTACCGTAAATACTGTAATAGTACTGTAATAGAAGAGAATTAAACAAAATGAATCTGCTAGAGCTTTGCCGCCTCTTCCAGGCTCTGACCATCTCTGAATCAGCTTCAAAATTCGTTCAACCTCTGTTACTCCGAAGGAAAGGGATCAAGGCTGTTTACATTTTGATTTGGTTTATGATAAAGCGGCGGTGTGTATACTAGATTTTCTAAATCAATCAGATTTTGATGCCTCCTCAAATTCTATTGACAAAATTATGACAGCTTCTAGGCTAGTCTCCTAAAATTCCTAATCCTCATTCTTTTGGACCGAACCACAAAAATTGGTGAGGTAATCTTCAGGTAATCTTCCTTCATGTAAACACCGACATCGAGTTGTTTCACGGATTTCAACTAGTTTAGGAACATTCCAGTGTAGCACCTTCCATCCTCTCATAAATGGTCGTATTCGTTGTCTGAACTGAACTGGAGTTGGTTCACAGATTTCAACTGGTCTAAGAGAATTCCATAGGGCCCTTTGGCATTGAAACATTCTAACTCGTCTCATGAATCGATCCGTTTGACGAAAGGAAGAAGAGTTGCATTCAGTTGAAGGGACGGAGCATCGACGAACTTTTTGCTCGAATTTTTCAGTTGGGAGCTCTGTTCCAGGGCAGCCACAGCGCATTGCTTTCCAAAAACGATCGATTGATCCACCACATAGCTCGAGTAGAGCCTCTTGTTCACCATCATCAATTCCAGCACGTCTTTCACATCACAAGGATGAGACCACACTTGTTACACTTGTTGAGATGTTGTTATGATCGCTTGTTCAACGCGCTGTAGGCAGACTAGAGCTGTGTTCAACGCTTGCTGCCGTTTCAATTACTGTGCTTGCATCCATTTCAGAAGATCTTCGAAGATCTGAGGATAGAAGCGCCAGATCTCTTTTTCGAACTTTTTACGCACCAGTCATTGGGAAATTATTGCTGAATTGACCACTTTTTATATTAAAAACACATCCGTTCCAGGGTTGCGACGGGATTTGGGGAAATTGATGCGGAATTAATTCTCGATCGATTAATGAATGCCAATGGGTGCTATGCGTTCCAGAATTGAGCTCAGAAAAGCAATTCTGAAGATTTGAATAGTTTTGATCAATTTATCGGCGTCAATGGGTTTCGTGCGTTCCAGAATTGCGGCCCGTGTTCCAATTGATAGAATTCATTTAGTAGACTGCCTTCAAACTGCCTTCAAAACTGAGAACTACCTTCAAACGCAACTTTTTGAATGTTTTCCCCTTTGAATAGAAGCCAAATGAATTGGTTTTGAGATGCAATAGTACCCAAGTGCTACTTTTTCAACCCCCAGTTCACTCGAAACATTCAAAACAAGAGTCTGAAGTGGTCTAGAATCAAACTCTGTTATCAAAGCCGAATCTTTGTGAGAATCTTGTATTTCAATGATTTCAACAACTCCTAAAGTGATCCTAGAATGCACAAAATCTACTCAAAAGTTATTGTAGTTGCTAGACGAGGATGGCGATTGTCAAGAAGATCCATTGTCAAGCCGATCCTCTTGGTTTAATTACCCAACTTTCCCAAGTTTGAAGGTTTGGCTGTGGGAGTTTGTATCCTGATTTTCAGACACAGCATTAAAAAGCCAAAGCCTAAGCCTAAGCCAAAACTTAAGCCAAAGCCTGAGCCTGAGCCAAAGTCTAAGCCTAAGCCTAAGCCTAATCCAAAGCCTGAGCCTGAGCCTGAGCCTAATCCAAAGCCTGAGCCTGAGCCTAAGCCAAAGCCTAATCCACAGCCTAAACCTAAGCCTAATCCAAAGCTAAAGCTTAAGCCAAAGCCTAAGCCTAAGCCTAATCCAAAGCTAAAGCCTAATCCAAAGCCTAAGCCTAAGCCAAGCCTAAGCCCAAACCTAAGCCTAAAGAACTGGCTGAGATCCAGAAAATGGGGGTTTAGCCCAAACCCAAATAGACTTAGTGCTAGGCGCTAGCCGCTAGCCTTCGCACTAAGTCCAAGCCTAAGCCAAAGCCAAAGCCTAAGCCAAAGCCTAATCCAAAGCCTAATCCAAAGCCTAATCCAAAGCCCAAGCCAAATCCAGAAAAGGGGGGTTAGCCCAAACCCAAATAGACTAGCCACTAGCCTTCGCACTAAGTCAAAGCCCTTTTTTCCTTTTGCCTCGGGTCCCGCCGCGTTTCCCTTTATCCTAAAATTGGGATTACTGTAGCATCATCTGTTCACTTCCCGTTTCCCTCACATCATTGTTTGCTTTAAAAGCTTATTAACGTATTAATTCTTTAACTTAACAAAAGCTTATTAAGTTGAAGTTCAAAACGAACAAATTCCGCATCATTTCCTGGCGTAACATCCACAATAATTGTCCTGATTCGTCGCTTTTTGTAGTCTATAGCTTTGCGCTAGGATTTTTCTTTTAAAACTGTCCAATTTTTTTGTTTTTTTCATTTTTGGATGTCATTCTATCGGCTAAAGCTTTTAAAAAGTCAGATTTTTGCAAAATTTCTGGTTTTGATTTTGGAAATCGATTTTGAAGCAATTCTTTAAAAAATTTGCTTTTTCCAATCAATTTTCTTCTTTTTTTCAAAATTTTGGATGTCATTCTTTTATTTAAAAACTTTAGAACATGTCAAACCCGGTATTTTCCCCATTCGTCATGGATGGGCTTTCCCGAAAACAAGTGACTCGGAGAAGAGAGCCAATGGTGGCGATGCCGAAGAAAGTGCTTCGACCGGGAGATGTGGCGCATGTTGAGGTGAGCTCTATGAATTGAAAACTATAGTAAATTAGCGTTAAAATCTTGTTAAACCCTTGACCAGTGAAATTTTCATTAGCTTAACTAGAAAGAAAAAAGAAACCGAATCAAAACCCGACTATCCTCTTCGACAGGAGGACTCCCGGCACTCTGGCTCGTAGACCAGCGCGCTGCCGACTGCGCCACGTCGACAAGCCGAAAAACCCGCTGAGGAAGGTTAACAGCTGGTTTTTCTAGCCAGAAGTCCCTGATCGCCGTGGCGCACTCGGGAGCGAGCTGGTCTAGAGCGCCAGATGATCTGGGTTCGACTTCCTGTAACTTCGTTAAAGCCAAGGAAAAGCGATGGATCCACCGTTTGGCCATCAAATTCATCTCTTTCTCTTGCATAAATGATAGGTTTCCCGGTCAGTCGTTTTCTTAAGTTCCATATGAAGCACAGCATAGCACAAAGGTCAACAAAATCATAGTAGGCTTCTCAATCAAAGTAGGCGGGTTGAAAAGGCGAGAGCAAAAGCGTTTTGAAGCTTTTTGAACGTAAAAAAAACTTAAACACCTCATTTTTGAGGATGTCTTTATTGTTTGAGGATGTCTTTATCTTTGAGGATACCTTTATCTTTGGAAGTGCCTATCAGAAACGCAGTCGATTCCAGGAGATTCATCACACTCCATCAGCTTATCCAAATCATCCGGGAAGGACGATGGTGGTGAAAAGATTAGTGGTCGTGCCCTCACATAAAGATGATCGATCAGCCGCGCCGAGGAGACCAAAAATCGCCGTTGGAAACGGGACCGCACTTGGGGAAAAGGTAAAAAATTTTGTTTTGCACCGATTTTGTCTTGTACTTTGTGGGAAACTTTGTAAAAAAACTGTTTTTCACCATTTTCACCATTTTCAGCCACCTCGTCCCGATCTACCACTCACAAAAATGATCAATCTTTTGCCTGCGCCGATTACAAAACGGTTTTTGATATCAAGATGTTTAGTGATTTAAGTTTTTAGGAAATATTTCAACGACGATGAGTTAAGCGCGCAATATGTGGTTGGAGGAGTTGACGAGATTCACGGTTCGTTGAGAAAAGAGCTTTAAAAGTGGCACTGGATTCAGGTAGGCCTAAGCTTAGGTTCGGTAGCAATGGATCTAGATAGATTAGAGATTGTACTAGTCCAAGAATTGTACTAGTCCATGAATTGTACTAGTCCAAGAATTGTACTAGTCCAGGAATTGTACTAGTCCATGAATTGTACTAATCCAAGAATTGTACTAGTCCAAGAATTGTACTAGGCCAGGAATTGTACTAGTCCAGGAATTGTACTTATTCCAGGAATTGTACTTTGTCCAGAAATGATAGCCAAACCAGGTACAGTACCCCGCTCCAATTACAGACGCATTAAGACTCTTAACTTTAGATGTCGTTCAACAAGAAGAGGTGAGCGCCGAAGAGCTGTCCGACGCGCAACACCAAGGCCCGTCCACTAGCTATATCGACGTGCTGGCAGAGTGAGTTGTGCTCCAATTCTCCAATTTTTTCCAATACAAGTGATAAACCAAAGTTTTAGTGGCTCATTTTCTGATTTCGCAAGCGGAAACGGGCATTTGGACGGTGGATCGCATTCTCTATCTTCTCATCCACATCACTCACACGATGACCGCGTTGTGCCACTCTCGCAAAGGAGTCGTGCCCAGCCAACACAGGTTTAGTACAAGATCAGGTCTTGGATCTGGTTCTAGTTCTGGATCTGGCTCTGGACCTGGCTCTGGTCCTAGATCTGACTCTGGTTCTAGACCTGGCTCTGGTTCTGGATCTGGCCCTGGATCTGGCTCTAGCTCTGGTTCTAGACCTGGCTCTGGTTCTGGACCTGGCTCTGGTTCTGGATCTCGCTCTGGTTCTGGATCTGGCTCTAGATCTGGCCCTGGTTCTGGGTTTGGATCTAGTTCTGGATCTGGATTTGGCTCTGGATCTGGCTCTGGCTCTGGACTTGTCTGCCGCCAGTTAAGATGGCTTTACAGTATGAATGAAGTTTAATAACTGAGCCAAGAGCTGCTTCATCATCCTAAAATTGCTAATCAATCAGTTCAGGTCCGACAACTCCAATCCGAGAATCTCTACTTAAAAGATCAACTCGACATGGCCACTTTCAAGTTGGTTTTCCAAGTTTGAGCGGGATGAGCCACTAAACTGGCGGAATGGACGAAAATCCATTAGCCATGGCATTAAATAGGTCTAGCTTTGTTCCAGGGTTATCAGAGCCAGAATAAAGGTTGAGGGTTATGTAGAGGTCTAGATGATGTCTAGATGATGAAGAAAAGACAAGGTCGGGCTACTGAACTGGGGGAATTGGCGAAAATCTGGCTTAGTTACGACATTGATTGGGTCTAGCTCTGTTTTAAGGTTATCGAAGTGAGAAGAAAAGTCGTCAAAAGTCAATCAAAGTCAAGAGCCATCTTTACCGGATGGCTCTCTGAATGTTAGTACCGACAGTGCCTATAGATTAAAGGATTGAACCATCTGTTTATAGTGAATAGAGCCTCCGGTAAAGATTTAATCACATCCGGTCAAGGTTTCTTATTGCACAACTAGGCTTTTATGGTAATTTTAGCCATTTTTGACTGTTGTTTTGCCCTTTTTTCAACTACAATCGTCTAAATCATTTAAAAATCATTGTTTAAATCGAAATCTACTGTTTATAGTGAAACATAGAGTCAATCTAGTCAATCTAGTCAATCTAGTCAAACTAGTCAATCTAGAGTCAATCTAGAATCAATCTAGTCAATCTAGAATCAGTCTAGTCAATCTAGAGTCAATCTAGAGTCATTCTAGAGTCAATCTAGAGTCAATCTAGTCAATCTAGTCAATCATAGAGTCAATCTAGAGACAATCATAGAGTCAATCTAGTCAATCTAGAGTCTAGAGTCAATCTAGAGTCATTCTAGAGTCAATCTAGAGTCATTCTAGAGTCTAGAGTCAATCTAAAGTCAATCTAGCGTCAATCTAGAGTCAATCTAGGGTCAGTCTAGTCAATCTAGAGTCATTCTGGAGTCTAGAGTCAATCTAGAGTCAATCTAGCGTCAATCTAGGGTCAATCTAGAGTCAATCTAGTCAATCTAGACTCAATCTAGACTCAATCATCGACTCTTTTTCAGAAACAAACAACTGGAGATGCTGTTGTTGGATCGGAATGCGCGGATTCGGGACTTGTTGAAGGAAAACTTGCAAACGAGTGTGAAATTGAGAAAACTGATGAGTCGAATCGGCGAGGAGACGGCTGAGCAATTGCTGTGAGGATTCAGAGATTGTTTAAAAAAGAAAAAGAATGTAAAAAGCAAAAGAAATAGAGAAAATCGAGAAATCGAGAAAATTGAGAAATTGAAATCGAGAAAATCGAGAAGATTGCGTCCAGTAGAGTTGAATCCAGCTCAAGGATTGTACAAAAAAGCCTGTAAAAGCTTGTAAGAGCTTGTAAAAGCTTGTAAAAGCTTGTAAAAGCTTGTAAAAGCTTGTAAAAGCAAACAGAAACAAATCCCCGCATTTTCAGAGCACCAACGCCGATGCAACCACGCAATAAACGGCCACGAATCATTGAAACGGTTGAGAAAAACGTGAAAATTGATTGATTGATTGATTAGCTGAAAAATAGCTGAAGAACAGCTGAAAATAGCTGAAGAACAGCTGAAGAACAGCTGAAGAATGCTTTGAATTGCTTTAAGTTTGAATTTCTTCGACTTTCTCCGTTCATTTACTCGTTTTTCTTGTAAATAAGTGCCTTTTCACTTTCACAAAATGCTTTCAAATAAAATTTTTATCATTTTTATCAAAAAATTGTCCTCATTCTCTTTGTTGAAACAAATTTTATCTAAAAATTGAAAAATGAAAATTCAAACGAATTTCCGAATTCAAATTTAAAGCTTATTTTTAAATTTAAAGCTTATTTAAAGTCTATTTTCAGATTTCAACGATCAATCTAATCAAAGCTCTCTATTAAACTCATTTCCAATTAAAGCTCTACAAAATGTCGAATAATAAAGACGAGATTGAAGAGGAGCAGCAGGGTGAGTCCAAAAAATTTGATTACTTTTAATTTGACACTCTTTAAGGCTCCATAACTTTTTCCAGAAAGCATATTATTCTAAACTTTTAATACTGTTTTAAACAGAATTTTTCAGGCTTTCGATTAAGCCCAAATAGAGCTGAATTGGATTAGCCAATCCTGAGAAAACAGCAGTTAAAGTTGAGCCTTTTTTCTTGACTTTTTTTGGGTTGTAGAAGATTTTGGCGCTGAATTTGCTGGATTAAATTCAGAATTTTGCATCCAGACAAGAGCTAAATGTCTAAATTCTCTTAAAGATCAAGCACAACACTTTCAAATTGAAGCCTGTAGCTTTTTTGAGCGTTTCAAGTGGCTGGCGTGCATTTTCTTTGCTAGACAACTTGCGTCATTAAACCGGCTGTGTTTTACAAAAGGCCAAAGAGGAAACGGACTTCGATTTGTAATATTCTTTCAAATTGGAAGTCACAGCTCTTGTTTTGAGCGTTTCAAGTGGCTGGCGTGCTTCTTCTTTGCTAGACAACTTGCGCAATTAAATCGGCTGTGTTTTACAAAAGGCCAAAGAGGAAAAAGGCTTAGACTTGCAATTGCTGTTCAAATTGGAAGTCACAGCTCTTGTTTTGAACGTCTTGAGTGAATGGCAGTGAAGTGCAAAATTTCTTAACCGGGCAAGTTGCGTAATTAAACCGGCTGTGTTTTACAAAAGCCCCAAAAGAAAATGGACTTCAATTTGCAATAGCTCTTCAAATTGGAAGTCACAGCGCTTTTTTTGAACGTCTCAAGTAGCTGGCGTGCATTTCTTTGCTAGACAACTTGCTAGACAACTGCGTAACTAAACCTGCTGTGTTTTACAAAAGCCCCAAAAGAAAATGGACTTCAATTTACAATAGCTCTTCAAATTGGAGGTCACAGCTCTTGTTTTGAGCGTTTCAAGTCCATACGACTAAAAAATGGTTCAAGCATAGTTCAAGTCTAGTTCAAGCAGTTCCGTTTTCAGAAATCACCGTCGAGGGCCCCGAATCAACATATGTGAAGCTGGTGAGCAGCGATGGGCACGAATTCTACATAAAGAGAGAACACGCATTGATTTCTGGGACAATCAAAGCAATGTTGAGGTAAGAATTGAGTCAAAGACTCAAAGCAAAGCAGTCTAAAAAAGCTGACTCAATAATTGAAAGGAAAGCTAGACGTTAACTTGAAATCGAACATAAATTTTAGTGGCCCTGGTGCTTTCCAAGAAAACGAGGCAAACGAGGTGAACTTCCGAGAGATCCCGTGAGTTTTTAGCAAAAGCAAGATTGCAAAGCAAAAGGCTAAGCAAAATTGAAAGGCTCAAAGGCATGGTAAGCGTGGAAACAAGCTTAGAAACGTCAAAAGTGGGCGGAGCTTTGGAAAAATCAGAGTTTGAGCGATTTTCTCGAAAACTATTTATGGAATAGATAAAATTTTGGAATATTCGGCCATTATGGAAGTCACATCGGGGAATCGTTGTGAAAGTTTTGGGTAAAGTTGATAAGATGAATGGGGGAATGAGACAAATCATTTTGGATCAAAAAGGCGCGGAATTTTTTGAAAATCAAAAATTCTAATAAACTTTTCGGGAGATCTGGAACGCACATAGTTCATTGCAGTTTTTAGATTTTAGATTTATGCAAATTTTTAGTAAGCGATAGGTCCCTGGTTCGACTCCGCTGAGTGACAAGATTTTTTAAATCGTCTTTTCGACTTTTTTTGAGCGCTTCAGCTAGTGTGCGTTCCAGATCGGTGGAATAATTTAGGAATTGATCGAATTCCAACTTAAATCCGGAAAAATCCCGGGGAAGAGCGAATCACCCAAGCTGTTCTCTGTGCGGTAATCGCTCGCCGTCTAGCACAGCGCTCGGGGATAGGAGGCGTCCCTTTTAGCATTTTTCAGACCTTGAACAGAAAGATTACCATATTAAAAGAAAGATTACGATTAAATCAACTTTTTCCAGTTCCCACGTTTTGCTCAAAGTTTGTCACTATTTCGCGTACAAAGCAAAGTACACGAATTCGGCGGCGGAGATCCCCGAGTTCAACATCGAGCCCGACGTTGCGCTCGAGTTATTGATGGCGGCAAATTTCCTCGATTGTTGAAGAAAAAGAAATTCATTTTCCGGGTCAATTTCGAATAAAAATCTCTCATTTTTTGAAATTTTTTGGAATTTATTTATGAGGACAATAAAAATATGAAATTTTTCATTAAAAAAAACAGAGATTTCTTTGAAAATCTCACCAAAAACAACAACAACAACAACCAGAAAATCAACATGAGAACTTTGAAATTCGATAAACGAATTCGAAAAACGAATTCGATAAACGTTTGTGATGATGAGCATCACAAACGAATTGAAATTTAAAATTTGAAATTGCCAACAACCTTGCATTTAATCTAGAATCTAAATTTTCATTTCCTAAAAGGTGCTTAAAACTTACGGGGAAAAAAGTTGCTGAGTTTTCTGAAAGAGTTTTGTGAAATAGCAGCACTGAATGGCGGCATTAAATGGCGGCATTAAATGGTGGAATTAAAATGACGGCATTAAATGGCAGCATTAAATGGTGGAATCAAATGGGGCATCAAAAAAAGTGGCATTAAATGGCGGCATTAAAATGACGGCATTAAAATGACGGCATTAAAATGACGGCATTAAAATGACGGCATTAAAATGACGGCATTAAAATGACGGCATTAAATGGCGGCATCAAATGGCAGCATCAAATGGCAGCATCAAATGACGGCATCAAATGACGGCATCAAATGACGGCATCAAATCGCAGCATTAAATTATTTCATTGCGATTTCCTTTTCTTTTGCGGACTGAAGCGGTGGGCGGACTGAAGCGGGGGGCGGACTAAAGCGGTGGGCGGACTGAAGCGGGGGGGGCGGAAGCGGTGGGCGGACGGAAGCGGGGAGCGGACTGAAGCGGTGGGCGGACTGAAGCGGGGGGGGGGGCGGAAGCGGTGGGCGGACTGAAGCGGGGGGGCGGAAGCGGTGGGCGGACTGAAGCGGTGGGCGGACGGAAGCGGTGGGGACGAGGGGGGGGTCTGAAGCGGTGGGTGGACGGAAGCGATGCGGGAGGAAGGAGTAAAGTTGCGAGATTTTCCAGACCTAAGCAAATCACAGCTCAAGCACTGTTATTATGAGTATTACTGTAGGAAAGAACTTAAATGTTAATTGAATTGTGTGCAATGCGTTCCAGATTTCAGTCGAGAAAAAGAATTTTCAAAAATCGAGCCCTGTCCGCTAAACTGAATGTCACAGCTTTCATTTAAACCAAAAAGCTACAGTAACCCGGACCATAGAAAATTTACCATCTTTACTGAGGAAACCCTGAGTTTTTAGCTATCATGCGTTCCAGGATGGTCAAAAAGTAAAACTTGAAGTCATTTAGTGCACTAGATGGCTCGCGTTGGCGACGAACTCGACCAAGTGGACTGAAAATCCATAAACTGAGAATTTTGATCTCAAATCTTTTCAAGAATCGTTGTGCGTTCCAGGATGGTCAAAAAGTTAAACTTGAAGTCATTTAGTGCACTAGATGGCTCGCGTTTGCGACGAACTCGACCAAGTGGACTGAAAATCCATAAACTGAGAATTTTGATCTCAAATCTTTTCACGATTCATTGTGCGTTCCAGGATAGCCAAAAAGTGAAACTTGAAATCATTTAGTGCACCAGATGGCTCGCGTTTGGGACGAACTCGATCAACTAGATATTGGAAATTCTCTGATTGAAAATTTTCGTTTCAAATCTTTTCAAGAATCGTTGTGCGTTCCAGGATGCTCAAAAAGTGAAACTTTAAGTCTTTTAGTGCACCAGATGGCTCGCGTTTGCGACGAACTCGACCAAGTGGACTGAAAATCCTCAAATGGAAAATCTTCGTTTCAAATCTTTTCTCGAATCGCTGTGCGTTCCAGGATGGACAAAAATCTGAAAGACAAGCACTTTTATGGTGAAAATTTCAAAGATCTAGTCTAGTTCATCAAATCCTGCACCGCCCACTGTTCAAAGCTTCAATTTCACAACCTTTCCCAGCCGATAATTAGATTTCGAAGTACAGAAGCCCTACGTGGGTCTGAAATAGTATTTGTTTTTGCCTAAAAAAGTGCAAAGAAGAGGGCAGTAATGAGCGGAAAAAAAAATCGTTTCTATAGAAACAATCAACTTTTGGAAAAAGGAGAAAAATTGATTTCAACTAATTTTTCATTTTTTCCGAAAAATCACCTGCTTATATTTAAAACTGTGTTCCAGATTACAGTAATCTTTCGTTTTTTAGGCGTCAAAGACAGGTGAAAGCGATGACAGCGACGGGAGATCGAAAAAGCGCTCCGCCTGTGATGGGTACGGTAGTTTTAAGGTGTTTTAGGCTGGTCTAAGCTGGTTTAAGCTGTTTAAGCTGGCTTAAGCTGGTTTGAGCTCTTTTAAGCTGGTTTAAAGCTCTTTTAAGCTGGTTTAAGCTGTTTAAAGCTGGCTTAAGCTCTTTTAAACTGGTTTAAGCTGGTTTAAGCTGTTTTAAACTGTTTAAAGCTGGTCTAAGCTGTTTAG